TGTAAGGAGAGACAGGTCTTTAGAGAGGGACATCATGCTGGGTAGAGTAGAGGGATAGCGCAGGAGGGGAAGACCCTCTATGAGGTGGATTGATTAAGTGACTGGGGTAATCGGGATGGGTGTGTCAGAGGCAATGAGAGTGGCACAGGATAGAGCATGGTTTAGGGCTGTTGTACATAGGGTCGCTATGAGTCGCAAATGACTCGACGGCACATAACAACAACAGTCCTCACAATTATATATGCCATTTCCTTGAAGTAAATCTCTGTGTTATTGTGTATGTGTAGACTAACATATGGACTGTGGTTATATTGCAAGTATACAAAAAACAGGAAACTTCTGTTGATTAGTCCATAGTTTTAGGGCTCTCTGATAGCCTAGTGATAAGAAGCTGTGCTGCAGTCCTGAAGACACATGGTTCAAATCTACCAGCTGCTCTGTGGAAAAGTATGGGCAATCTCGTGTGTGATTAACTGCCTCTGAAAACCTGCCAGAGGGTCAGCTATGGGTCGGTTCCAACTTGATGGTACACTACAACCACCATCATATTTTTATGTAATTAACTTCTTTTTGGTTTCATATCCTTTCCTCATAAGGTGTTTTTGAAATTTTACTAGGTATTAGCACTTGAAGATATGCAGAGCCATCTCAGTGTCTCTCCCCCCCCATCATCCCGTGTGTCGTTCCCCCCCCCCGCACATAGTTGCATGATTTAAGGTAGTTCCCTATTGACTCATGTAGATTGCTTTCATTCTTTTTTTCATGTAATAATTTCATGTTATTGTTATGTGCTGTCAAGTCACTTGCAGCTTATAACAACTCTATATACTATAGCTCTGAACTCTGCTCTATCCTGAGCCAGTCTTACTGTCTCTAACATACCTACCCCCATTATTCCAGTTGCTATGCCAATCTATCTCTACTGGGGTCTTCCTTTCCTGTACTATCTCTCCACCTTTCTAAGCATGATGTCCCTCTCCCTAATCATATATTCCTTTTAAACACTTTTTTCTTTTATCTGTTCCATTGTAGTGTTCATTATGTATCGCTTCTTTGTTATCCTCCCAACCCCCATGTCAGTCCTGTTTTATAACAGTGGTGTTATACAGTACTTATGCTTTTGTGAATGAGATATTTCACTCAGCATAATGTCCTCCAGGGTCACCCATGTTGTGTAATGTTTTATGAGTTCTTGTTTTTCAGTGCTGCATAGTATTCCTTTGTGTGAAGATACTGTCGTTTTCTATCTGTTCGCTTCTTGATGTGCACTTGGAGTGCTTCCATCTCTTCGCTATTGTGAATAACACAGGAATAAACCTGGGTGTGCATACATCTGTTTTGGTGGAAGCTCTGGTTTCTTTAGTGTATATTACTGGTAGTGGAATTGCTAGATGAAATGGCATGTCTATTTCCAACTTTCTGAAAAAGTGCCAGACCACCTTCCAGAGTGGTTGTATCATTTTACATTCCCACCAGCAGTGAATAAGAGTTTTAATCTCTCCACAACCTTACCAGCATTTGTTGTTTGATGAATGGTTGAATTTTGTTTTTGATCTTTTTAAATATATTTCTGGGATTTTTAAAATCTATTTTTCCTTATGAACGTTCTAAGTTTTTCTTTGGGCTGTTAGTCTTACTGATTTTTGTTATTTTCATTATCTTCCCGTTTTTTCTGTTTTAAATTGTGCACAGAGTAGTAGTGCACATTGTATTCTGTTACCTCAGTTGTTAAGTACTATGGACTTGGAGCCAACTCATAGCAGACCCTCCAGCGAGTGTCCAGAGGCTGTAAGTCACAAGGGAGAATATTGCCTATCTTTCTCTCAAATAGCAGCTGGTGAACTTGAGCCACATGCTATTGCTATAGTTGTGTACCTCCTTACTACTGGGTCATCAGCGAGGTTTTCATATTACAGTCCTCAGAAATTGGAATATCTTTGCAAATCTGATCCAGGTTTCAGGTTGGGAGATTATCCTGGATTTATAAGCCCCATCTAATTATATGAGTCTGTAAAAGTGACTAGCCTAAAAATAAACCCACAAAAACATACAAAAGAAAACACAAAAATACCCTTGCCTTACTATGGGCTTGTGGTCAGAGGAAGATGTTGGAGAGATGCTATTTTTAGTTTTTTAGTATAGAAGAAGAGTGAGGGGACCATGAGCAAGAAATGTCGTTGGCCTCTAGGAGCTTGAAAAGGCAAAGAAATGAAGTCCCTCTAAAGTTGAGAAGTAAAATACCTCTGCAGACCCTTTGATTTTATTTTAGCCTAGGAAGATCTGTCAGACCCAGAACTGGACCATTTGTATTGTTTAGTTTTAGGCCATTATTTTTGTGTTACTTTGTAGTGTGTTTGTGTGTATGCTCTAGATTTCTTCCCTTTTACCCTCCCTCCATTTCCAAGAAAGGTGATCCAACTGAATATGGAACCTATCGAACAATATCATTAATACCACATGCAAGCAAAATACTGCTGAAGATTATTCAAAACCGACTAGAACAATACATAGAAAACTGCCAGAAGTTAAAGCAAGATTTAAAAGAGGCCATGGCACCAGAGATAATCATTGCTGATGTCTCATAGATCCTGGCTGAAAGTAAAGAATACTGGAAGAATGTCTACTTGTGCTTTATTGACTGTGCAAAAGCATTTGACTGTGTGGATCATAACAAGGTGTGGCTGCCATTGAGAAGAATGATAGTCCCAGAGATCTTAGTTGTGAGAAACCTATACCTGGACCAGGAAGCTGTTGTGCAAACAGAGGAGAACACTGCATGGTTTAAATAAGAAGAGAATGTCAGGACTGAATTATCTCTCCATACTTACTTAATCTGTATGCTGAGAAAATTATTTGAGAAGCTGGACTGTATAAAGAGTGTGGCATCAGGTTTGGAGGAAGACCCGTCCAATAACCGATGTTATGCAGATGACACAACCTTGCTTGCTGAGAGTGAGGAGAACTTGAAGCATTTGCTGCAGATCAGGTAATGCAGTCTTCAGTATGGATCACATCTCAGTGTCAAGAAAACAAAATTTTTTACCACTGGATAGAGAAGAGATTGAAATTATCACCAGCTTCATCTTGCTTGGATCCACAATTAACACCCTTGGTATCAGCAGTCAAGAAATAAGGAGACACATTGCACTGGGAAAATCTACAGTTAGGAACCTCTCCAAACTATGGAGGAGTAATGATGACAGTTTGAGGATGAAGGCACGTCTCATTCAGGCCATCATCTTTCTGATCACTTGATATGCATCTGAGAGCTAGACAGTGAAAAGGATGACTGAAGAAGACTCGATACCTTTGAGCTCTGTTGTTGGAGAGGCGCTACTGAACAACCCGTGGGCAGCCAAAAGAACATACAGATAGGTCTTGAAGAGGGTACAGCTGAAGAGTTCTTTGAAGGAAAGATGATGTGGGATGGATGAGGCTTCACCTCACATACTTTGGTCACATTGCTGGGAGGGGCTATTCCTTGGAGAGGGATATGATGGTGGGCAAAATAGAGGGTCAGTGAAGGAAGGAAGACCTCCCCCCCCCCCCCAAGCAGGTAGATTGGCAGTGATTGCCACAATGGCCTCTTGTGTGTCAGGAAGTGTGAGAATGGCACAGGATAAAACAGGGTTCAGATCTTTTATTCATACAGTCTCTGTGAGTTGTACTTGACTTAGCAGCACCTAACAGAAGTAATAACCGCCACCCCCATGTATTGTCTTTTACTTTGGTGTCTTTTTCTCTGTAGGAGTGTGTTTTATGTAATTAAACTTGCCCTTTAATTTTTTGATTGAATGTTGTTGTTATTCTCTGATGTCCCGTTCCGTTGACTCCATCTCATATGCAAAGTAGCTCTGTATTCTGCTCTATCCTGAGCCAGTCTCACTGCCTCTGACACACTTAACCCTCATTACCCATGTTACTGTGTCATTTCATCTCATCTGGAGTTGTCTTCCCCTGCCCTTGTCCCTCCATCCTTCCAAGCATTATGTATGTTCTTCTCCAAGGACTGATCCTTCCTAGCAACATGCTCAGAGTATGTGAGACTGAGCCTTAAAATCCTTGTCTCCAAGGAGCAACTTGATTTCACCCTCTCTAGGACAGATCTTTTTATTTTCTTGGCAGTCCATAATATGTTCAGTATACTTTTCCAGCACCACTACTCGAATGTTAGCAGTTTTTCTGTCATCTTTGTTTCCAGCTCTCTGATGCATAACAAGTAATTGCAAAGACCATGTCCTGGCTCAGGTGCACCTTAGTCTCCAGATTGACATTGTTGCTCTTCAGCGCTCTGGAGAGGTCCCTAACATCAGATTTTCCCAGTCAATTCATCTTGATTTCCTGACTGCTGGTGGCAAGAGTGTTGATTATGAATCTGAGCAAGCTGAAATTTTTAACAACCTCAGTCTCTTCCATCTATCGAAGAGCTACTCTACTGATGGTGAGAATCTTGTTCTTGATTTTCAGCTTCAATCCATCTTGCAGACTATGTCCTTGACTTTTTGCAGCAGACTTTTCAGGTTTTCCTCAGTTTGAGCAAGGAAGGTTATGTCATCTGCATAATCTACATAACACAGATTGTTGATGAGTATTCGTCTAATCCTAATGGCACATTCTTCTTCTTAAAGTCCAGCCTCCTGAGTTATTTTTCCCACATATAGACTGAAAATGTATGGAGACAGACATACTCCTTTACTGATTTTGAACCAGTCAGTGTTCTTGTTCTTTTCTAAGGCCTGCTTCCTGGTCCAAGTTTACGTTTCTCATGAGCACGATCAAGGATCCTGGGATTTCCATTCTTCTCAAGGTTACCCACAATTTGTTGTGATCCACAGTGTCAAATGCATTTGCATAGTCTATGAAACACAAATATGCATTCCTCTGGTACTGCTTTTAGCCAAAATCCATCTGACATGGGTGGTGATGTTTCTAGTGCTACGGCCTCTTCTAAACCTGGCTTGTCCTATTTTCCCCCTTCTTTAGTTTCAGTATTTTTGTCTCATAAGAAACTGTAGTATTAATGTTTGCTTACTTTCTTCTACCTTATGCTCCTTTGTGAAGAGTAAATAATGCTCTTACTTATACGTGGGGGTTTTTAATACTGATGTCATTTGACATAGACCTAGAGAACTGGAACACGACAATCTTAGTATCATTGCTGATAGTGAGAAATAGATTTCGGTGGCACCAGAAGCCAGGGGCTATATATAGTTTTTTAACCTTAAACTACTATGACAAATTAATGATACTATCCAGCAGAAAACACAGTGATTTTATTCTAAAGGGCTAGTTTATGAATGCTTCATTGCTTATCCTTCAGACTTTAGATTTCTTACTGTCCTTGAAGTTTTGAAGATGCTGGAGACTTGGTTATATATATAGGCTTTTATCATGTCATCTGTGAGTGGAAGATTTGAGTAACAGGTACATTATAATTACCTGTGGGCAATAATTAGGAGGGTCAAAGTAAGGGAGACAAAGTCTTTACAAATCCTTATCTGTAAGGAGCATTCTGATTCTATTTCTCCTAAGATTACTTTATTCTTATGTCACTCCATGAAATACTCATTGTTCTTTCTCAAGTCTGTAACTAAAATGCGATTTTTTTTTTGCCTTCATTTATTGTCCAGCTTTGTCACATATGTAAATGAAGCAATTGAAAATACTGCGGGTTGATCACCTTAGACCTGGAAGAGACATAATAATTTTTGATGAAAACTACTGTGTAATCTCTACAATGAAAACAAAAACTTTGAAAGTCTGAAAGGCCCAAATGTTGCAATGCTATAGAGCAACTAAAATGATACATTTTTTGTGGCAATGTAAAATAGTTTCACAACTTTGGAAAATAGTTCTTCAATTCCATTCCTAGAAAATTATATAGAAGAAATGAAAGTTTAAGTCTAAACAGCAACTTGTACAAGAATGTTTGTCAACATTTATCTAGAATAACTAACAATTAGAATCCACCTCATATTCTAATGCACCTCTCTGAGGTGATTGATTCAGTGACTGGGGTAATCAGGATGGGTGTGTCAGAGGCAGTGCCATTGGCACAGGATAGAGCAGGGTTTAGGGCTGTTGTACATAGGGTCACTATGAATCTCAAACGACTCGATGGCACATAACAATTAGAAACAATTCAGATATCCATTAGCAATAGAAAGTATTAATTTATTGTGCATATAGTGAATATTCATTCAGTGACTAACAGTAATAAGAAAGGATCAGCTGCTGGTACAATAGCATGATCAAAAGAAAGCAAGCAAGAGAGTACGTTTAGCAAGAGAGTATGTTTAGTATGTTTAGTAATGCTCTTTGATTACATTTGTATGAATTTTAAGGACAAGCAGAATTAACCTGTATGTTACCATAATCATAATAAATAGTTGCTAATTTGACAGGAGAGAGGCTTATTTTAATTTTTAGGATGATAAAAGATATCCTGCCTTTTTATCATGTTCATTACAAAGATGTATACATTTGTCACCCTTTTTAAATTATATATTTAAATTAAGATTACATATTACTGTGTAATTATGTCTTAATAAAAATATAGAGTTAAAAAGTAAACAAAGGTGAAAATTTCAGATACATGCAGTGACAAACTGACAATCATAATACTTAGCACTTGCAGAGACGGACTGGAAAAGCAAAGAATTACAGTGGATATTTATAAGAACCAAAACAAGTTTAAATTATATTCAGTGTCATTTTCTAAAACGTCTTCAAGATTTGTAAGTTTTAAAGTATTTCACTAATTATTATACTATGAGTTTTAGAACTAGAGTGACTGTTTTAGGTTATGCCTTGTGGTTAATAATGACTCTTGATGGCATTAGAAGAATGTAATCTCTCTTAAAAATACTCCTCCAAAGAGGATATGAAAGATTTCTGTAGTCCAAATTGCCTGATAAGGTTTTAAACAAAACATTTATCTTCGTATGATTTGTGTTAGTGGTTTGGATTCTCAGTTGGTAGAAGAAATTGAAAATGTGACATCTGGTTGAAGCATATTTGTTTCAGTATTTTATTTATAATATATAGCAATCATTAGTTTAGCAGCTGTAATTTGTCTTGGCTATAATATAATGCATTAAATGGATTTTATAAAGACAGTTACATAGGTACTATATATAGATGGACAGTGTTGTCTGTGGAGTCCTTCATAACTTGTTTCATAGCATTCAGATATGCTTGAGTTTATTCAAATGATAAGTTGGCATAAGAATTAAGTTGTGTTTTAACCTAAGGATAGTGTTCAAAATAATAATAACTTTTTTTTACCTCTATCAAGTAATTATGTGTGGACTCTTCATGGAAGTAGTAAACCACAAATTAATGTGGTGGCTGATTTCTTAAACATGACTGACAGCAGAGCTGTATTTTGTTTATGGAAAAGCTAATTCCTAATCTTTGCATCTATTTTAGTAATAGTTATGCACGAGTCCGAGCTGTGGTGATGACCCGGGATGACTCAAGTGGTGGATGGTTACCACTTGGGGGGAGTGGACTGAGCTGCGTCACTATCTTCAGAGTTCCTCACCAGGAAGAGAATGGCTGTGCTGACTTTTTTATCCATGGAGAGCGACTCAGGGACAAAATGGTAAATGAATAATTATTGTTAATAATGTAAAGACTACATCTACAGAATAATTGTTTTAAAATTATTAGTGTACTATATTTTTATGAGAATTTTTTTGCCTGTTAAATTATTTAGAGTTTTCATGTTAAAATATAAATGGAATTAGTTTCTTTGTAAACAAGAATAACATTAATGTACACAAAGTAGTGAATTGTTAGCACATTGTTACTAGGTGAAATCAAGTCAGAATTAACCTATTGGTAACCATCCAGTGGTTTTCAGAGGCTATAAATCACTTGGGAGGGGATTACCCATTTTTTCTCCTACAGAGCAGCTAGTGGATTCAGACCCTGTGCATTTGGATTTCTAGTATAGCTTCTTACCATAGGCCACCAGAGTTCCATGAGGGTAAATAGGACACTCAGAATACAACATTATTTACTGTGAAAGACTTTAAAGGGGTGGAGGAAGGCTTTTAAAGGAGCCCTTAGCTTAGTCTTAGGAAATAGAATCTAGGTTCTTCTAATAAAATCTTTAAACTAAAAATCAGAAGGTTTGCTATTCCGCCTAACTTTTTGCTTGCAGTAGTTTCCTTGAAGGTGCTTATTATTTGTGAAACAGGGACAGTAAAAAGAATTAATATTGACAGGAGAGACTACTTTAAATTTCATGATTTGTTGTCCTATTTCCTATAAAGATTGTTGTTAATAGGGGCTACCAGTTGTCTGTGGTTCATGGTGACCTTATCCTTTGCATTGTTCCAATTGCTGTCATGCTCAGATTCATTGTTGTGGTCATTGTATCAGTCCATCTTGTTTAGGGTCTTCCTCTCTTTTTCTGCTATTTCCAGTTGATATCTTTTCCAAGGACTGGCTCCTCTTCACAGCATGCCAAAAAATTCAAGTGAGTTGCCTCTAAGGAGAACTTCCTCCAAGATAGATCTGTTGTATGTATGACAGTCCAGGGGATTTATTAGACTACTCATAGATGAACTCTAGAAATTATGTGAGACACATGCACCTCTCACACTCCATGAAAAATAAAGCTTTACCCTTTAAGAAAGGATAGATAAGTAACAAGTACCTCTTGCACTTGGTGTAATAATAAAAAGAATAGACAATGTTTGAGAGGGTGTTTCCAGGTCAAGAAGATAGCTTTTCTCAAAAGTGAGAGAATAATTTTGGCAGATTTTTCTAATCCTTCATTTATAATTGAGTATATGAAAAAAATAAATCTTATTATAATTGTTTTAAAATGTTTATACCTTATTTTTTTATTTTTTTTAGAAAAGCACTGCTGTGAAGTCAGTTCTGACTCCTAATGACTTAAAATCGGATTTCTGAGATGTAGATCTTTTTGTGTTGTTTAATTGTATTTTTACTTTTTCTTTACCTAAACTTATATTTCCATTCTTCCTTCTTTCCTTCTTTAGTCTCTGTTAACTCTCAAAGATTATTTCTATTTATGTGTAAACCTTTCCTTAGTTTTTTAATTAGTGGTTTTATACCATAATTACCCCTTTGTTGATGGTTTCTGTCACTCAGCATAATTTGTTCAAGATTCATCCATATTACACAATATTTTACAAATTCTTGATTAGTGATGTGTAGTAGTCCCTCATGCAAATGTACCACAGTGTCTTTAATAATGCATCTGTTGATGGTAAATCATAACAAGAGGGAACTGTTTTTATTTTCTTATAGAGTGACTGGTAGATATGAACCATCAGCCTTTTGATTATCCCCCCCAAGCACAGTGTCAATTCTGCTAAAGGGCTCCTTCTCTCTTAGAGACAGGGCAAATAAAGAGTATGTTTCCTGATCCTTTTTTGGTTAAAGTACCATTCTATGTGATTGATATATATGATTCTTTCTTAAAATTTGCTTGTCTTTGAAGCTTTTACAAGTATAGTTCATTCCTTGAACTTCTAACATTCTAGAGCTTCCTGATTTGTACGCCATTTGTAGGTTAAAGTGGTTGAAGCCCTTAGGCTGGTTGCATCTGGTCACTAATAGTTCCTCTTCTTTCTTCTTACCTTTTTAGTATTCTCAATAGTATGCACTAAACAGACAAAAACAATTGGAAATGACTGCTACAAACTATTGAATTGCATAATTTATTGGTATTTAAGAAAGAAACACCTGATTTTGTATTACAGTTATAGCATAAGAAAATGAAAATACTACCTTTCTCCCAGAGATTTGGAGATAAAAGCATAGTGATCTTTGATAAGGACAGATTCTCACAATCTTCTTCTTAATATGTCTGAGTTAGACCCTCCATTTCCTTTCAAATGTTTATAGTTTGATTTAGTCCTTTAGATGACTTTTTTTTTTTTTTAAAGGCTACCTAAAATTTGACTGTTGGTTTGTATGGGTAAATCTTTACTACCAAAATACGGACTTGCTTCCACGTAGTGGAATCCCACTCATTGCAACCCTCTTTCAGGTTTCTTAGTCACAAGAAGAGGACTGTTCATCTTTATCTTGTGGAGCCTCATGCATCCACAACCTTTGGGTTAACAGAGCAACATACTAGAGACTATTCCACCAGGACTCTACATTTTTTTCCCATGATAGAAATTTATATTTTATATTCTTATTTTTATTAAGAATTTGATGCTAAAAAAATAAAAATAAAAAAAGAAGAATTTGATGCTTAGCTATCATTATGGATAAGCATGGCATTTCTGTCTTAAATCGGGCATTTTAACAAAATGTCTACTGTACACAAGTTATGTTATTTAACTATTTTATCAGAATTATATATGCTTTGTAAATTTAAAACAATAATTATATGCCTTTAAATTATTTTTAAATAGTTGAAGTAACTGTCAATGATAACATTAATTCATTCCTAATTGAAACATGAAATGTAAAAAGTATGAATATAGAAAAATTGAAAGTTAAAAAAATTAAATGGAACACAAAGTTTGACATGCTAGGCATTAGTGAATTAAAAGGAACTGGTGTCAGTCATTTTGAAGCAGACAATCATGATCTACTGTGCTGGAAATGACAAATTGAAGAGAATGATGTTAAAAAGAGCATTTCGTGATCTCCAATGCTGTGCGGGATAGGATAATATCCATATAGATTGAAGGAAATTCTGTTAATGCAGCTGTTACTTAAATATCAACCAACCAATAAAGCTTAAAGATGAAGAAATTGGGGATTTCTACCAACTTTTGTAATATAAAATTGATTCTATATCAAGATTCATTAATAATTAAGATGCATTAGTAATAATTTATTTTAATGCAAAACTTTGAAAAAAGAAGGACTAGTAGCTGGTAATAGACCTCAGTGACAAAAGTGAGGCTGGAAGTTGGAATGATAGACTTTGGCACAAAGAATTATTTATTCATTACAAATATTTTTTAAAAACATGACGTTTACAGCACCTGAAAACCAGCTGGAGAGTCAGCTGTGAGTCAGTTCTGACTCCATGGGGTGTGTGTGTGTGTGTAAACACACACTACACAGGAATCAGATTGACTACATCTGTAGAAAGAAATGTTGAAGCAGCTCAGTATTGGGAGTCAAGACTAGGCCCGGAGTAGAGTGTAGAACAGTTTAAATTAAAGTTCAAGAAAATTGAAACAAGTTCATGAGAACTGAAATAATAAGATATTAAGTGTATCCCAACTGACTTTTAAAACTATCTTAAAAATTAATTTGACTCATTGAACACTAATGATTGAAGGCAAGATGAGTTGTGAAAAGACATCAGAGGGTGGCTCCTGAAGACAAAGTAAAGTATTATAGAGTTAGAAAACTAAAAATTAAGAACATGCTCCCCATTTCTCAAGCTGAAGGAAATGAAGAACAAATTCAAGCCTTGAGTTGTAGCACTGAAGGATTCTATAGGCAAAATCTTGAATGATAGAGAAACTGGAAGAAATACACAGTTGATATAATGTAGATGACAGTGAACCATTTCAGGCAGTAGTATATAAAAAAGAACCAGTAGTACTAGAGGAAGAAGTCCAAGCTGCAGTGAGCCATTGGTAAAAAATAAGACCCTAAGAATTGGTAGAGTAGCAGTTGATATATTTCACAAAACAGATGCAGTCCTGGATGTGCTTATGAATCTGTGCCAGCAAATATTGAAAACAGCTACCTGGCTAACTCACTAGAAGAAATCCTCCCTTGTTCCTATTCCCAAGAAGGGTGATCAAATAAAACCTTGCTGAAGATGATACAGAAATAGCTGTTAACAGCACATCCACAGAGAACTGCCAGAAATTCAAGCTGGCTTCAGAAAAGTGCATGGCACCAGAGTGCAGTGCATCTGAATTGCAGATGTCAGATGGGTCTTGGCTGAAAGTAGAGTATACCGGAAAGATACTGACTTATTTTTTTATTAATTATCCAAAATTATTTATGTGAATCATAACACATTATGGCTAACATTGAGAAGAATGAGGATCCCAGAACCTTTAATTATACTTAGGAAAAACCTAGACCAGGAGGCATATGCCTGAACAAAACAAGGAAATACTGCATGGTTTACAATCAAGAAGGATGTGCATCAGGTCCCTATCCTTTCTACATACTTATTTAGTCTGTATGCTGAGCAAATCATTCGAAAAGTTGTACTTTATAAAGAAGTGTGTTATCAATTTCAGAGAAAGACTCATCAATAACTTGTGTTATGCAGGTGATAGAACCTTGCTTGCAGAAAGTAAAGAGAACTTTGAGCACTTTATGCACAATATCAAAGACCACAGCCTTCAATATGGCTTACACCTCAACTTTAAGAAAACAAAATCGTTACCACTGGGCCAAATAAGTAACAGCATGATAGAAAGAAAAAAGATTGGAATTGTCAACAGTTTCATTTTATCTTAATCCCAAACCAACTTTTCTCTGTGTTTTAGAACCATACCATTAACTCATTTTTTTTTTTTTTTTTTTTACTTAGTCTTGACAATCAAGTTATATAATATGACCCACAATATATCCTGGTTGCCTTTATTTCCCCCCCTTAAAAAAACTTCAATTTACATTTTAACTTTT